TATATATATATATATATATATATATATATATATATATATACTCTCTTCATTTCAGCTCACCGATCTCATTGGGGTAGACATATATTCTGCTCTGCGTCTGGGTCTTGCTCGTGCTTGGCGCCGTGCAGCCGAAGATCAGTCCATGGTTCTCCGCGACGCGGTGGAGCATCGATCCCGGGTACGTTTTTTTTTGTCTTCATTGTCGATTGTCTTTTCTGAGTGTTGTACTCTTTTTAGTTCATGTGTTTCCCACACACCTCGTGTTGAATACGGCGAAAATTATTACCTATCTTTCTTGGTTCATTCCATTTTTATCTGGCGACGGTAGTGCTCGTGTGCATCGGTTAAACAATCTTGCAGTTGTATGATCTTAAGTCACTGTTAAAACAAACCGAGGAAGAATGTGACGTCGTGCTTCTTCCTGGAGACAGAGTCGTAGACTTAGAGAATGCCGATGATATTGCTTTACTCGGTGAGAATGTACCAACGATTTCCCTCATGTAAACTGTAACAGCATGATTATGAGTTATTGAAAACAATTGTTCGTCTTAAATTGTGTTCTAGATTCAACAGTCGTTGAATCGTTTGGCGATTGAGGGTATGATATGGCGTTTGTACCTTCAAATTGCAAATTAATGTTGCAAGATTCGCAGGAACCCGTTCCTGCACTTTCGTTGAATAATGACACACTGGAAGTAGTCCAAAGCTTTGTCTATTTCGGGAGTCGTATCACAACTAGCGGAGGTGCGGGTGACGAGATCTCTCATCGCGTGATCAAAGCTAGATTAGCGTTTGCTAATCTGCGGCATCTCTGGCCGCCGGCGCGCCAGGAAGATGCTCATAAATAGTTATTTTCCTTTCTCCTTTAGTATGAATTATTTAAGTAATTAATTCGCCTGTTTCATGATCACAAGTATGCGCGTCGAAGCTGACAACAAAGTTTGCCCCAAGTTAGTTCTATTTATTGTATACAATTCACACTAGTCTGCATGTAAACTGTTGTGGTTGCGGAAATTCTGATTTAGAACATTTCAACGTACGCCTGGATGAATGAAGTGAGAAACGAAAGCAACCTTTTTGGCTTAAGAGAATCCAATGTTTTTTAGGTATTTTTATTTACATAAACCAGTGGTTTTTGTCGAGAACAGGAGAAATTTCTAACCATTCAGCTGGGTTTCCAAGGCCATTTACGTGATTTCGTTCAACTTCTATTCCGATTGTGTTTTGGTTATCTCACTCTCTGTCAATTGTAATCGTTTGCTGCATCAATCCAAATACCAATCATTGCGGTAATTCTTCTGGCAGTATCAAGTTTTGGCTTTGCAAATCCCTGAGGTTGCTTATGATGCACAATACCTTGTGGTATGCGTTGGTGTTCAAAGTCCGTTCCACGGTCATGTTTACCAATGTCAGACACCATTTTTTGTTCACCCCCACACCCGCAACCTCCGCTATTCGATTGCTTTGCCATCTCCAATGCGTACAGTTACATTAGCCTCATATAATCACAATCATGTGCTTGTGGTGCTCTATAGTTTTGTGTACGTGTGGTCTTCAGCACATCCACCCACCCACTGCAGGAAGTTTAGAGCTTCTCAGTCCTGTTTGTATACGC